GGTTTATCTACTGCTTTGGGACAGTTGTTGGCTGATTATGATTTTTAGTTAAGAAGGGTTAAAAACACTAGCATTGAACACCTAGTACCTGTCAGTAAATTGAAATTTCTTCCCAACAAAAATCACTGTCCCACAAAATCCCAATTCAATGTCGCTAACTACAGTAGTTACATCGGCATGGTAAAGCAATGTGTCCTGTTCTGCGTCGTGTGCAGCATTTCGCAGTGTATATTCTAATAGCATTTTACAATATTATGTTTCACTTTACACATCAGGTCGAAGCCGCTTTCGTGACAAATCTGCCCAGGGGAACAGTGGTGGTCATTTTAACAGGAACAGCTATGGTGATTCACGTAGTGATTCCAGAAGTGGTGGTGGAAACCGCTTGGCAGGACATTCAAGTTTCTCAGGTGGAGGACGAGGTGGTTCTGGGAGAGGTGGTCATATGTCAAGTGCTAACAAGTCGTTTAACTCCAACAGGACACAAGATTCCCGTGGCGGAGGAAGGAATCAGTCGCAACAGAATGGCTCATGGAACATGATGGGAGGGGGATACAGCAACTCTTACAGCAGCAACTCGTATTCACAACAGGCGCCGCCTCCACCACCTCCTGGTCCGCCTCCTTCCCAGCCGAACCCACCCCAGCCTCTTATGCAGCAACAGCAACAGCAGCAGTACACCCAGGCTGCTGCTGCCACCTACCCACAAGCCTCTTACCAAGCTTATCAGCAACAGGCTACCAATGCTGTGCAAGGCCAAGTGCAACAAACTGCGGCATGGTCATATCCTCAACAGAGATGAGAGTTACAATCTGTCGGGCATTCTTNAATGGAAGAAAATAAAGCGTGGTTCTCATATGCCGCCGACATCCCTGGGACATGCCGGAAGTGGGGTAGTACTTGGTGTGAGACCTCACTATTACAGCTACTACAGATACTACAGTTACTACGGCTACTTGACAGATACTACAGCTACTACAGATACTACAGCTACTACAGTTACTACGGCTATTACAGATACTACAGCTACTACACATATTACAGTTACTACAGCTACTACAGATACTACAGCTACTACAGGTACTACAGCTACTACAGCTACTACAGATATTACAGATACTACAGCTACTACACATACCACAGATACTACAGCTACTACAGCTACTACAGATACAACAGCTACTACAGCTACTACAGATATTACAGATACTACAGTTACTACAGGTACTACAGGTACTACAGATATTACAGATACTACAGCTACTACAGATACTACAGCTACTACACATACCACAGATACTACAGCTACTACAGATACAACAGATACTACAGCTACTACAGATACTACAGTTACTACAGCTACTACACATACTACAGCTACTACACATACTACAGCTACTACAGCTACTACAGCTACTACAGTTACTACAGCTACTACGGCTACTACAGATACTACAGCTGCTACAGCTACTATAGCTACTATACTATCTCGGGACATAATAGTGACGTCTTACACTATTAGGAAATGTGTGGGTGTATCTCGGGACATAATAGTGCGGTCTTACACCAAGTACTACCCGACATAATAGTGAGGTCTTACACCAAGTACTACCCCAGAAGTGGCATTTCTATGGAGCTCGGACCTCGCAATTCTCGTGCCCAAGGCCCCCACGGCTCAACGCCTTACAGCTGCTGACTCATGCCAACTGGCCTTAGGAGTGCATGGAAGCTGAAGGTTTCTGTGAAAAAGAGCAGTCACTGAGAAGGTAGGATCACGGTTAAAGTTGACTTAGCTGTTAGCCTTTGACAAAAAATAAACCGAGATGTAATCGAAAGCAGGCGGAGATCTAGGATAAATGTTGTCCGACTCCCGAAACAACGAGCGCGAGCGCCGAAGCGCAAGCTTCTTAGATCTAGAGGTGGGTCTAGTCTGAATTTCAGCCGTCTCTTCCCTTTACGCCCCCCTCGGGGTAAAGGAAAGAGACGGCTGAAATTCAGACTAGAGGTGGGTCCTACTTCCCCAGGAAATATTTTTAGATTTCAACTCCA